GAGGGTCGGTGGTGCTGTCCATAGGCTCAGCCTTCCAGGCACTGAGAAGAGCAGAGAATGGACTCCGGGAAGAAAAGCCAGAACTCGGTATCTGGAGCAGCGCCCAGCTTATAGTAGGAAGGACCGTGGATATTTGATGAATGAATGAATTTATGAATGAGTGAGGGAAGCCGTGTGGCTGCAGTAGTGGGGGGCTGTGCTGGTTTGGGGCCTCGGGGAGCACACCAAGGTGCCTGGGGCAGCCAAGATGACAGGGGGGAGTCACCCTGACAGTAGACGCGTGGAGCAGGGTCGGGGTACTGTGACCCCCTCCTGGAGGGGACTGCCATCGGTCTTAAGCATCTTTGGCAGGTTCTCCCCCAGGGTCCGGGTCAGGGGCAAGGGTCAGGCGGGAAGAGGCGCTGCGGGAGCCCCGCCCCACCCTGCAGTGCCCTGTCACCCCTGACTTGCACCATGCCCCCCTCCTTCCTTCTTCCTTCTCCATGGGCGGGAGGAAGAGCTGCAGAATCGAGTCCACAAACCGCCTTTGAGCCTTGGGCGTGGGTTAGGACTCTGTCGCAAGTCACCGAAGCCAGCTCGCCGGCCTCAAACTAGGAAGAGAATGTATCCTGCTGGGAGGGGTCCTCTGGGGCCCAGAGACAGCCAAGCATGGAAGGCGGGGCTAGAACCATAGTGCGGCGCAGACATCTCTCCATCCCTCCTCTCTGCTCGCCCCCGCCCCACTCTCCATTCCCCGGCCCCGAGATTGCCCGTCGAGGGGGGGCGGGGAGGGGAGGGCGTCCAGCCCTGGGAGGAGACGGGGGTGTGTCCCGTCTCCAGGAAACGGCTGGTTGGCTGCGTTCTGCTCTGTGCCCGCTTCTGGACCAATCGGCTGCAGCCTGGGATGGGGTCTGGTTGCACAAAGGGGCCGCTGGGCCTCACCACTTTGACCAGCAGAAAGGGGCCCGCAGGGCGCGCGGTGCTGGGTGCAGGGCGCGCGGACCCGCTCCTTTGCGGCGCTGATGTTCAAATTCCTCGGTCAAGGTTGCACCAGGGGCGCGTGGCTGCTCTGTATCGAGAAGCAGCTGCTTCTGGAAACACGGAGAAACGGACACTTCCTCCTGCGTTGCCTCCTCCCTCTCCTTGCGTCCTCTCCCTCCCCCACCCTCTCCGGACTTCTCCAGCTCGGGGCCAGTCCTTGCTTAGTCCCGTCCTCGGCGGGAGGGAGGCCGGGAGGGGCCTTCGAAGAGGGACGGAGCTGGGGGAAGTGAGATGGGCTTGCTTTTGTGGTTGCAAATGAGAGAAACCCCTTGAACCCACCGAAAGCAAAATGTATCCCCGGGAGGGCGGCCTCGGAGGCGAGCTCTGCGTCCCCATTCCATCTTACAAGCTGTGGGGCTTTCCAGTCTCCTCCACCTCTCTAAGCCCCCGTTCCCTCGTTTGTAAAGTGGGGATTGTAGTAGCGCCGGTTTCAGAGGAGGGTTGTGAGTTGCAGCATTGCGACGAGGTGGGGCGTACAATGCAGGGGTGACGCCGAACGGTGCACGCGCCCACAAGTGTTAGCTGTTGCTTACGTGGTCCAGACAAACGGAGGGGAGCTCTCACTTCTGGAAGGACACTGGCTCGCGCGGAGTCTCAGATCAGCGGTGAGGTGGCCGTATGCATTGTCCTCGTTGGCGAGGAACCGGGCTTGCTCAGTCTCCCAGGTGGGGAACGGCCGCGCGCGGTCCCCCGGTTGCCGCGCCTTGCACGCAGCTGCCCCCGCGTGGCCGCGTCCGCGCACCGCGGCGGCTGCCTTGCCGCCTTTTCCTCTCTTTGTTTCTTCCTTCCGAGGCCCCGCCGCTGGCCCTGGACTTTGGAAACCCTGGGAGGTGGTTGGAAGAGGAGCCCAGGCTGAGGAGCTCGGTTCTCCGCTTTGGAGCAGGTGCTGTGGGAGAGTGACAACGTTCTGTCCCCGGGGTGGTCCCAGGAGTGAAGCAGGACCACCCACTTGGTCCATGTCTTTGAAGCGTTGGATCTGGTGCTTCTCCACCTTGGTGACACAGGGGAATCACCTGCTTTGAAATAACCCCGCAGGCAAGCTGCTGACCCGTGCTGGGGGTGAGCCCCAAGCAGCAGGGATTTTTAAGGCTCCTTGGCGAAGCCAGTGTGCAAGAGCCCCGAGTGAAGAACCACAGCTCTCTCCATGCACCATTTCCCTTGTCACCTCCGCTCTCTTTTTGGCCTCCGAAGGTGGCCTTCACCCTGAGCCTCTTCTGGCCGAGCCTCCTCACGGGAGTCCCGCTGACCCTTCCTTTCCGTGGTGCTCATGGCTGTGTGCCTTCTCCGTCCCTCTGTGTCTGATGTGTCCTAACCCTAACCCTAGTCCATGGCCAAGGGCTTTAATCAGAGGCTGATGAATGTGCTGAATGTGTCTTGAGCCCCAGCCTCACGGATCCAACAGCATCTCCCAGGAGATGTTCCACTGAGCCGGACAATTGCCCTGCCCTGCCTCCTCGTCCCCTTCTCCCCTGGAGCCCCCTGCCTTCCACCCAGCTCCCAAGCCCAAAGCCCAGACCCTTCCTCATCCCCTCCTAGCGCAGACCCTCTCCGCCCTGTGCAAGGTCAAGCAAGTGTGGAGGTCTCCATCACTTTCAGCCCTTTCCACGGGCCCCCAAACCCCGAGAAGCCGATTCCGCCCCGCCCCCACCCCCGATCGCTCTGTCAGAGGGACAGTCTCAAAGTGCACACGTGACCTTGCTGCTGTCCCTTGATGGAGCCCCTGCGCGCTTCCTCTGCTCCCCTTCCCACACACCCGTCTGACGAGGCTCAGCAAAAAACTAAGTCTAGGAATCAGAACACGCAGTCCGGGGGTTTGCAGGTGTAATCAGCTGAAGTGACAGGTGACGTCTGTTTATCAGACGGGCATAGGCAGTAGCAAGTGAGGTTCTTGGAGAACCAGAGACCAGAGGTGCCGGCTAAACCGATTCCATTCTGTCTCCTGAATCCCCATTCAGATTTGGACACTCAGCATCCCTCTTTTCCTGCCTCTTCTCTCTCTTGTCTCCTGCCCCCAAGGTCTCTTTGTCTTGCCTTTCCATCAGCCCCAGCTCTGCTCTGTGGCCCTCAGTTTCTTCCTCTTTAACATGGGGATAATGAAAGCGTTTCTGCTCCGGAGTGTTGTGGGGATTCCAGAAAGTCCTAGCATAATGTCTGTGTGCAGCCAACCACGTGACAGATAGCAGTGGCTTGGACCAAAGTGATGGCCGTGGAGGTGGTGAGAAGTGACCGGGCCCCAGGTTGTCACGTGCTCCAGCCCCTGTAATGCTCCTCACCCCCCCAAACCTTTGCACACATTTCCTCCTCACTCAGAGACGCCTCGTTTCCTCTCTCCATGCAAAAATCATGAACCTATCAGGCATCAGTGGATGACCGCTCAGGATGGCACAGTATTTTACTGTGAGCCTTCCTGGAGAGCCCTGTGCTGAGCTACAGTCAGAGCCCTCTGCAAGTGACAACTGGTTTCATCCTCACAAAATGGCCTCGGAGTTTGGTTCTGTTATCCCTTCACAGTCAAGTGACTTGCCTGAGGTCACAGAGGAGGGAACAAAGTGAGGGTTCAGATCCGCCTGATTTGGGTCTGAGTCTGTGCTCTTAATGACTCAATATGCTGCGTCTCCACAGCAGAGCGATGGTGGTCAGTCATCAAGCTGGCCTTGACTGAGCGCTCACAGCACGCCAGGCACTCAGGTCCCGGGTTCGCGGTTGAACTGCACCACATCCATGTTGCTCTCCGCACGTGGGTGTGCATCTGAGTCCCGGCACTTGCTGGCTCTTGACTTTTAGTACTGGGCCGCCTGACCGGGGCACACTCTCTTGACCCTCATTCCCCAGGGCTTGGTGGCCGTCTGTGGAGTTGACTTCCCTTGGGACAGAGCTGGCGTCTCTCTAGCATCTCTCTGATGCCCCTTGAGCCCAGGGTAAGTTTACTAGAGCCGCCAGGACAAAATACCACTGAAACTTATTTTCTCATAGCTCCGAAGGCAGGAAGTCCAAGGTCAAGATGTTGGCAAGGTTGATTTCTTGAGTCCTCCCCTTGGCCTAGAGATGGCCATGTTCTCCCTGTGTCCTCACATTTTCTCTGTGCGTGTCTGTGTCCTGATCTCTTTTCATAAGGACACCAGTCATGCTGGATGGGGGCCCGCCCCACCTGACCTCATTTTACCGTATTTACTCTGCAGAGGCCCTACTTCTGCATACAGCCACGTTCTGAGGTACCTGGGATTAGGACCCAAATTTAAGAACTTTGGTGGGACACAGCTCAGGACAATTATTTCAAACTCCAATGCTGATGGGCCTGCAGTCCCTGGCTCAGTCCGTAGAGCATGTGACTCTTGTTCTTGAGGTGGTGAGTTCAAGCCCCACATTGGGTGTAGAGCTTGCTTTAAAAAAAAATGCTGATTGTCCAGATAGATTCGAGTAGATGAATGAATTGGGCTGGGAAAGGCTTGGCCTCCTCATTCTTTTATTTTCCCACTTTTGACATTTTCTCCCTCGAGACACCATACTTCCCTTTCATCTTTACTATGTGAAAGACCAGTGCGGGAACATTTGTTCACGGCTGTATCCTCAGCTCCTGGAACAACTACCTGGCACCCAGGGGGTGCTCAGTAAGCATTTGTTGAGCAAATGAGTGAGCGGAATGGCCCTGGACGTTGGGGAGAGGCAGGGACCACGGTGAATACTGAAGGGGTCAGCCAGCACTCAGCTCTCTGGTCAATTGTCAGATTGCCTGGAATTCAGAGTTTTCTATAAATCTCAATGTTGTTGTGATAGCAACGAATTCACATAAGCGAGAACATTAGGCAGATCTGTTTGCACCCACTGCCCTCTGCTAAGGGGGTCCCACTGTGAGCCAACAGAGCGGGGCCTCCCTCGGCCCGCACTTCTCCATTGGAGACAGGAGAAGCTGGAGGTGAGGGCCTGGGCCCCCCTGCCTGTTCCTGCGACTCAGGCCCCCCTGCCTGTGGTTGTCTCTGCAGGAAGGCGACGCCCTGGGGGCCACCGAGAAGCTGTGCAGGCAGCTGACTTACCACCTCAGCCCCCACTCCCAGTGGAGGCGGCACCGGGGGCTGATGAAGAGGAAGCCGCAGGCTTGGTGAGTCTCAGTCGCCCAATGTGGAGCCGCCCTGCCCCCGCCCAGCCTCGCTCCCCCCCCCCAAAGGTAGCCCAAAGTGAAGCCATGCCTGGCTGGGCTTGTGCGACACAGAACTCCCTCCCAGGGGCGAAGGGAGGAGCTGGGACCGGAGGGATTGTCTTGGAAGGTGCCTGAAGGAAATGAAATTGAAGGAGAATTCAGGGTGGCGGGGAGCAGCCCGGTCTGTGGGTGGGGAGCTGGGGAGTAGGCCCCATTCAGAAGGGGTGGGTGGGGAGGCGGACAGGAGGATTTTCTAATTCCTGGTGTGAGGAATATGGGTGATGAAGTTTTGGGGTGATGGCGGGGTGGTCCGGATGGCCAAGAAAGAACGCGAATCACGTCTTTTCGGTGCAAAAAAAGGTGATTTTATTAAAGCATGGGGACAGGACCTGTGGGTAGGAAGAGCTGCATGGAGGTCATGATGGGTAATTCATTATATACCCTCAGGCTGGGAGCGGGCCATGATACAGTAAGTCTCTAAGGAATTTTGGAAGCAAGGTTTCCAGGCCCTGGGGGGGGCTAGCTGTTGCTAGGGGGACGCCATTTATTACCGTTTAATAAAACCTCAGTCATGAGACCCTTCAGATGTACATCGGGGGCCATAAGCCTGGGGTCTGATTGCCAGCATAGGTCCTGGGGCAGCTGAGATAAAGGAAGTAGACTTGCAGGATCCTCCAGGTTGGGATAATGTTAAGCTAAGTTTCTCTTTTGCCCCCAGCAAAGTGTCTTCATCCAGGCAGCTGAGCTCCTAGAGGGAGGTCACTGCTTGTTTCAAGGACTCGTCAGTGGCTGTAGGCAGGGGATATTACTGTCGCCATTTGACTGGCCACGATCACCCAGCCGCTAGGAGCCTTCCAGCTTCAGATCCCAAGGAAAGGGACTTCTGTCGTTTTGCCGAGAGGAAGCCCAAGCTGTGATCCTTGGGCTGCTGATATGAACATATGCTCTTGAACCCCGCTGAGCCCCCTCCACCTTCCTCTCCTTCCCCCGGCTGGAGCCCCGGGGCTCGCCTGGGGTACCGGAAGTGGGGAGCTCTGGCCACAGAGCAAGGAGTAGCAGATGATGGAGGGTGGGAGGGGGTGCAGAGCCCTGAGCCTCCAGGAGTCAGCAGCTACCTGCCCCCCAGGCGCAGAGCCCCTGGGCCTCACCCCTACCTGCGGTCCTATAGGGCTCTCCCTGAGGATTCCCCCCATCCTGTGGGCAAGACTGTCTTGAAAAAGAGGCCTCAGGAGACTTTGTGACCCTCTTGGGGAAGCAGGAAGCTCAGTCTAAGTAAAAACGACAGTAGCAAACATCAGCACTCACATGTACAAGGCACTGTCCTAAATGCTCTGTGTCTATGACCTTATTTCACATAACAGCTCTGGAGTACTCGATTAGCTCCATTTGTGCAGGTAAAACTGAGGCCCAGGGTTAGAGGTCATGTGACTAAAGGTCACACGAGTACGAAGAAGAGTGAAGATGCAAACGCAGGCACTGTGGGCACCCAGAACGTCTGGGCCTTTCTTTCCCTTGTGGTTCCTTGAGCTCTGGACGGCCAGGCCCAGCCAGGCTGAGGCGGGAGGCAGTGCCGGGGGGGGGGGGGGGTCCCGCGGGCCTGGTCTCTCCCGTCTCTGCTGTCGCAGGGCAGGAGGTGGCCCCGTGGTGGCGGCCACCGCCGCCTCCGGGAAAAGGCTTGCGCCCCTCGCTTGAACGTTGCTCGCGCCTTCTCCCCTTCAGCCTCAAGGCTGTCCTGGCCGGGAACCCTCCGGACAACACGGTGGACCTGTCCGGCATCCCGCTCACCTCGCGTGACCTGGAGCGGGTGACCAGCTACCTGCAGCGCTGCGGGGAGCAGGTGGACAGCGTGGAGCTGGGCTTCACGGGCCTCACGGACGACATGGTGGTGCAGCTGCTGCCGGCGCTCAGCACACTGCCCCGCCTCACCACGCTGGCTCTCAACGGCAACCGGCTGACGCGGGCCCTGCTGCGTGACCTCACCGACACCCTCAAGGACCCCAGCAAGTTCCCCAACGTCACGTGGATCGACCTGGGCAACAACGTGGACATCTTCTCGTTGCCCCAGCCCTTCCTGCTCAGCCTGCGCAAGCGCTCCCCGAAGCAGGGCCACCTGCCCACCATCCTGGAGCTGGGCGAAGGCCCGGGCGGCGGGGAGGAGGCCCGGGATGGGGCAGCGGGTCAGGACCCGGGGGGCGGCCCCCGGGATCCTGCCGAAGACCTCGAAGGCAGGGAGAGCGTAGGCACAGTTCAGACATGACACAGAAGTAGGGGGCCCGGTGGAGCATGACTGAGGCAGGCTAGGCGTCCCTCTAGGGGCCTCAGGCTGTCACCCAAAAGTGGCCTGGGCAGCCCCACCCATGGGAGCCAGGCTGTAGCATCTGGAAAGGGGGTTGATTAGCACTTCATATTGGTCTCCACTGCCCCCTCGCCAATCTCCTCTGCCTTTTGGCTCCTGAGAAAGCCTCCTTGGCAGATTTGTGGGTACAGTCTGTTTGGAGATGCAGAAACCTTGCCCTAATGTAAGAACTTACCCCCAGGAACAGAATGTACTTCTGGCCCTACATCTAACTTCCTATTTCCTGATAGAAATAGGAAGCAAAGTCCAGCCAGATGCTACCTGACAGCCCAGATGTGTGCCCCCCACTCCAGGCAGGTTGGAATCTTCACCCTAACACCTGGCTGAAGGTTGAGGCACTGGCTGCCCAGAGACACCAAGAGCCTAGTCTCCATCCTTATGTCGGGTCTACCTCCCCCCCTGTAAAGCCCTGGGGGCTGAGGAAGCACTCCCATCCGCCTCAGCCTCCGTTTCCGAAGCCCACACCTCCACTTGGGGGGCCAGGGGCCCACTCAAGGACCAGCCACCCCACACCCTTCAGTACAGCGTCCCAGAAGGCCTACACGTACCGGCATGCATAAAAAGGCCCACCCATTAGCGCTGCACCATCACCCCCACCCCAGCCAAAGTCTACCAGCCCTTTGCTAGGGTTCTCGCGCTGCTAGTGTGCAAGCCCCTTTGGAAGTATTTTAAGGGTCTCTCTCCTGAATTTCTTCTCATGGAGTTCCCAGAGACAAGTGACCCATGATATGGAGCACACTCCCAATACCTATGGGAAGCTCCTTAAAAAAACCAAGATCATGAGATGAAACTTCAAACTCTTGGGGGATCTATGCCTCCCACAAAGACAGGGAGAAAGAGGTTCCCAAGGGGAGTAAGCAAACGTATTTTCACCCGATCTTCTCTTTACTCCAGGCCTACCAGCTAAATATCCCTTCTAGGTACAGCAAGCCTATATCCAAGGCATAGACTTCAAGTCCCTCCGAGCCCATAGATGGTGACCAGAGCTGCTCAGGCAAACGGCAGACAGCGGGGAAGCACAGCCCGACAAGCCTAGGGCCTCACTGCGGGGCAGGACGCCCACTCACGAAGGCAGCAGGCCAGGGGCCAGGTTAAGGGCCAGATATGGGGCCTTGCCCACCCCACTCACAGCTTTGGCCAAGGGTAGTGTAGGAAAGTGTTGGGCTTCATGAGGTGGAGGCTATGCGGGAGGACATGGCCCAAGGGCAACAGAGACTGAATCAAAGGTTTGATGCCTTAAATGCTTTGGAACTTTTACCCTTAGAGTCTGAAGTTGTTACAGAGGCAACAGCTAAGACCGCCCGGAGAGATGTTGACAATACCCGGACTGCTCATACCTAACAGCAGGGATCAAAGTTTTCTCCAAATACACATTTTTAAGAATCAACACTAAAGGCCGTCCCTTATTGCAGTATTGGTTTATTTTAAGTATATGGAAATACTAATTTCAGAAAGAAATAAGCTTCCAGCTTAAAGCACTCAGACCATCACCAACAGAACAATTTTATACAAAATTAAAAAGTGCAGAAAGCTCTTTGGGCAAGATAGAGCTAGAAATAATGGTATTTATACTAGAAAACTTGCAAATGGCACCATAATGGTGAAAGCACTGTGAACACATTTGTTAGCTCTACTGCTGGTAACAGAACGGGCTCTGGATCTCGGCACCAGGTAAGTGCTGTTTCCACACAGGCTACCAAGGCCTCAGTTTTCAGTCTGAACTGATGGTGGCCACTGGTCCTCGGAACTTCCGTATAGCCGACCACATGGTTCTCCTGGGGGACAGCCTATAAAGACACGGAGTATCAATCTCCCGTTCCACTCCCACCAACAGCATTCACAGCATAAACAGACATCGTCAGAAAACCAGAGGTTCAACACTACACCATCTGCCGGTAATTCCAGCTATTTTTGGGTGATTTCATCATTTGACATCTTTTTTCTGCACATAAATTTACACAAAATTAGCTGCTTATTCATTCTACTATAGACGGGGAGGGGGTCCTGATCCAGATGAAAGCTTACCTCTATTTGGGCTGAGCTGTGCCACCCCGGCTTGACCTCCACACCGCTCATCACCCATCTTCAACAAGTCAGCACCCAAAACCTGGGGGGATGAATTAAGGCACCCATAGGCAGGCAGCAGATACCAAAAACAAACAGGAAGTTCTGATCAGGATAGCGTCAACTACAATCCAAGATCATAGTAAGAGTTCGTGGAAACTCCTGGAGATGCCTTTTTGTGAATTAAGCCATAGAAGCCCAAAAGTCCTAACTGCCTTCTTCAAATGGTAGAACCTCCACTTCATCGCAGACCTAACACTGCCATTTTAAAGGGTGAGGAAAACTCAATCTCAACAGGCAGGATTTGCTCAGGATCACACAGCAGTGAGGTAAAAAGGGAACTCCTGGGTTTCCTCTGCCCTCAGCTCCACCACCACCTCGGGGATATTGCCAATACAGGTCAAGGGCTACAGTGATACAAGGGATTAGGTTAACCAGATAAAACTCCCACTATCTGACTTAACCAGAACTCCACCTAATTTAACAGCGATGCTCACTCAACCACTAACTTCCCTGTAGATCAAAACTTACCTCCAGGCAGGCCACTCATCATCCCTCGAATCCTCAGCTCAGCTGCCAGTGAGCGCACGCTGGCAACCCCTAATTGGCAACCTGGGTAGATACAGAAAATAAAGGTCACTGTTCACACCAAGACCCCCCAGGTCACCAGCAGCTGGAAGGGCTTCTTGACTGCAGTCAGCCAGGAACTGTTATCGTCAGTTATCGCTTCTGACGGCACTTCCTATAAGTGATTTCATCAGAGCAGTCAAGCACCCCTCACTCCCCAGTACCGCGCCACACACCTGGACACTAGCTGGAGACAAGCCATAATTGCTCGAGAAACAGCCAGGTCCTTGGCTGTTGTCAACGTTGTGATGAAGCCGTGCGTACTTACTTTCCAGGGCACAAACTTTACAATTGTTAACTACCGGCCAATCCCAGTGCATTTAAGCAGACAAAACGTTACAAACTGTACATCCATCCCTGCCTAGAGGAGCTCCTACCTCAAGGAGGGGTCCTGCTCCCGGCTTGAACGCTAGGCAGTGGGTCGGCCACCTGGAACATGGAGGGCGAGACGCGTTAAGGGTCAAGTTCTGGCAGTGATGTTCAATCACACTGTTGAAGCTTCAGCGACTGCGATCAGACAGGCATAAAAATCGTCAGTTGTCGATTCTGACGGCACTTCCTAATCCCATTATCATCAGGACAGTCGGCCAAGTCCCCCTGTGGCCCCATTACCAACCTCACCCCCGCGGCGCGCTCGCGTGCAGGCCGACCCGCACTTACCCAGTTCACCGGGGCTGGCGCGCTCCCCACGGCGGGTCCGGGGAGCAGGGGCCCGGCCTGGGGACATCAGGCTGCTGGGACGACGGCGGCCCTGGGGAATAAACACGTGGGCCTTGAGCCTCGGCTCCCTGCGCGTCTCTTCCGCCACCAAGGCGCCCGCCACGAAGCCCGAGCCGCCCTCCGCCCCCACATAAACTCCCAGTAACCTTCTTTACAAAAATTAGGAAGCTTCTAGTTCATTCGCCCTTGGCGCCAGCTATTAAGCCAAATCGCAAAGCAGCTCACCTCCATGACGACTCGATAGGAAAGGTCGCTTTGGCTGTGTGCCCTGCTTTTAAGGAGCCGGAATATTCCATTCTTCACAGAAGGGAGGGTAATGCTGGCAAAGACTGACGGGAACTTCCAGTCCATTTGACGATGCGGACTCCGCCCCACCACCCCGGGCCACCCCCCTCCTTTAGAGCATATGGTCTCTTCCACGGCCCCGCCTTCTGGGTCTCGCGGCTCCGGAAGTGCGCCAGGGCGCCTGCGCGGGGGCTGGTGCGCAGTTGCTTAGTTGCGCTGGGACCCCAGCCCTTTCTCAGCTGTGTGGTTTTGTGCAGGTTACTCAGCCTTGTGAGCTTCCGTTGCTCCTGGTAATGAAGTTCCGGCACCGCAGAGGTTATTCTGAGGATCCCATGAGAAATCGCACTTGAAACCCTGCAGAGAGACCCGGCTGGCAGGCAGCAAACGTTCATAAATAGTAGCTGCTTCTAATTCTAAGCGCTGCCAGTCTGCTGTCTCCCCACAGCTGTTTCAAGACACGGAGCCTCTCAAAATCTCTTCGCACTGGCAGCTCCTCACGCTTGAGAATGACCTCTAAGGAGCGAGCAGACGTCTTATCCGGATCCACTTCCATTCTCTCCCGATTCCTCGGGAAGGACGCATGCGTTTGTCCGTTCCCTTAGCTCACCAGCAACGGAAACCCCTCCCTCTCTGCAAATGCACACCCTCAGGTCCTTCCCACTTAAGAAATAATTCAATTGGTACGCATTTTATAAACACTTATTACATAAAGGGGGAGCAATTCATTTGGACTGGAGAACATTGGAAAAGCTATAGCGAGACAACTTGTGAGCTGGTCTTAAGGATTTTAGTGGGGTGGGGGTGGGGGGGCTTCCAGCAAGAGCCAATTCCGGGGGGTCAAATACACAAGTTGATCAGTCTACCTGATGAAAATGGTAAAAGTGCTAAGGAGAGCATGGAGGACAGCAGGCATATATATGGGGCAAGAGGTGTCTGGAAATGTTTGGGCAAAACCCTGGAGGGTGGGGGATGCCAATTAGGGCGTCCTGTGGGCATTGGGGGAGCCTTTTAAGGCTTCAAGAGCACACGGGTAACATATTTCTCTTCCCTCTTAGGAAGTCCCCTCTGGCAGCCTTGCAGAACAGCTTGGAGGGGTAGGAACTGAGCAGGTAGCCCAGAAGGGAGAGAAACCAATAATCCAGAGCCTGAACGAAACCAAGGAGCTCAAGGCTTTGAGAGATACCTTGGGGGTGGCTGGAAATTACGGGAAAGGACAAAAGGTGGCTGTGTTGCCGGCTTCCACCACCACACGGCTGTCAGGACAGCAGCTACAGCACTCGGGAACAGACAGCCCCCAGGCTGGGGGGCAGCAGGTGAGGGTCTCCTGTGCCCGGGTTGAAGGCGACAGAGAGTAGCCCAGTCTCAGACAGAAATGCTCGCAGAGACATGTGGATGTCAATCAGCCCAAAGGCCCATTAACTCTACTTAAACCACCTTTCCCGGAGAGGTGGTCATGACAGAGTATTTATTTATATTTGCTAGCAAAGTTCCCTGGAGCCCCAGAGCCAGCTGATAGGGCTGAAGAGAGTCCCCGGCTCTGTCTCTGACTCTGTCCCGCCTCTGGGCAGGATGTCAGTGGGACTCCAGGAGCTGGAGGGGCAGGTGGTCTTCCTCGGAGGCAGTCTCCTCCTCCGGTTGGGAGGCCAGGGCAGGATTCTTCACGATGCCTGTAAAAGGGACAAAGAGCGCTGTGGCTTGGGCCTTGGGCCGTGTCCCGAGGAGGCCACAGCCACGAAACCACCTGTACGCAGCAGATACTCCTGAGGTCCCTGGCAATCCTCCCTACCTACGCCCTCCTGCAGGCATTTCCTGCACCCCTGCTTTGTGCCTATCAGGGACTTCCTCCCCGGAGCCTGAAGTCCCCAGAGGCAACAGCCTTTTGTGTTAGGATCTGGAACACTTGAGGCGTTCTTTTTGCTGAAGAACTGGAGGGAAGTGAGAAGCAGGTGTTCAGGGAGCTCAGGGGAGAGAGGGACCCAGCCTGTAAGGAAGGCAGATTTGGACACTTGGGCAGAGAGCCAAGGAAAGCGAAGAGCGAGGGGCACTGTGGGGGGACCAGCTGTCATGTGGAGAGCGGGAGGTGTGGGAACCGGGCTGGACTGCAGGGATGCATCTACACCCTGAGGGCTGAGGCCTTCCAGGCAGTGGGAGGTGCACAGTGCGGGCCTTGTGCAGTTTTGTCTGCATTAGAAAGAGAAGCCTGGAGCAGGAAGACTTATCTAATGTTTGTTTGTTTGTTTCTGAGAGAGAGAGAGAGAGAGAGAGACAGCGTGAGCAGGGGAGGGTCAGAGAAAGAGACACAGAATCTGAAGCAGCTCCAGGCTCTGAGCCATCAGCACAGAGCCCGATGCAGGGCTCAAACCCACGAACCGTGAGATATGACCTGAGCTGAAGTCGGACGCTTAACCAACTGAGCCACCCAGATGCCCCATGATCCAGCACTTTAAAATCAGAGTAAAAAACAACAAAGAGAAAAACAAAATCTATGATGGATTTATTGATTTTNGGAGGGGGTGCGGGGGCACCTGGGTGGCTCAGTCGGTTAAGCCTCCGAATTCGGCTCAGGTCATGATCTCACGGTTCATGGGTTCGAGCCCCGCGTCGGGCTCTGTGCTGACGGCTCAGAGCCTGGAGCCTGTTTCAGATTCTGTATCTCCCTCTCTCTCTGACCCTCCCCTGCTCATGCTGCCACTCTCTCTCTCCGAAATAAATAAAACATTGAAAAAAATAAAAAACAATAAATAAAGGAGGGGGTGCAGACGGAGCCTTGCAGTGGTGCAGAGCCAGTGACATGAGGGCTGGGGGCAGAGAAGTGAGTGGCTGCGGTGGGGCGAGGGGGGTCCTGAGGACACTCAGCACCAGGCTGAGAGGGACACTGAGCAGAGACGTTCAAGGCTTCCTGCCCAGGCGAGGGGCGGGGAGGGGTGGCACACGCATTATGCCGTCCCCGTTGGGGGTGTCCCGTTAGAAGCCCCAGCAGGCAGTGGATGTGGGGTGCTCTCCCAAGATGCAGGGCAAGGGGGCTTTCAGAGTCTTGGTCTCGAAGCGACAGGGTGGCAAGACTCAGAGGAAGGGAGGCGCGCACAGAGCGCAAGCAGGAAACCTGTCGGTTTGTGAGGGCCATCCATGGTCAGGGCCCCTGGAGCCTGGGAAACCAGAGGCTGGAAGAAGCGTCCCTACGCAGGGGTCAGAGGTGACACAGGGGCTGTTATGGGGCGGGGGCGGGCGCCACAGGTACAAACAACTAGAGTCTGCCGGAAAGAGAACGAGAAAGAGGAGGAGAGCCAACCGCAGACCAAGTGAGAGCTGCTGAAGGTTCCAGAAAGGGCATGCCGCAGAGACAACTAATCCTTGGAACAGGCCCCCGGGTGAGAGGAAGGAGCCAAGGCCAGTCTTGGTGGAAGGCAGCAGGGTGGAGATGGGAGGGGCCTCCCCACGCTTGAATGGACAGGACGCCGGCCATGACCCTGGGGAAAGGCCTAGGAAGTGGCTTCTCCTCAGAGGTGTGGGGGAGGGGAGGAAAGCTAGGGCTCAGCAAGGCTGGCAGGGGCCGAGCCAGTGGGGGCTCCGGGAGACGCCCCCTAAGCTGTGGGATAGGTGGGTGGGGCCCTCCATGGAGGCGGTCCCCTCCGTGGCTGTGTGGCCGCACAGACACACGCACACAAGGACGCGGACCTGCTCTCCCTCCAGAGCGGGGGCTCCGGTCCGTGGCTACTCACCAGGGACGCCAGGCCCTGATGGCTCCTCAAGCACCGTTGGCAGCGTCTTCTCCCATGCAGCCCAGTTCACTTCCTCCACCCTGAGGACAACAGAGCAGCCCTGACACCCCAGGAAGCCACCTGCGCGGCCTGCGCGGCCCCAGGAGGGGGACCCAGGTAGACCCAGCGACGGCCAGGAGAATGGGGTTTCTCCGCCCTTCTCACTGGACACGGGGCCACCTGCCAGCCCACCCAGGCCCTGTCCGGGCAGCCACCACCCTGCTGCCCCCCGGGCCAGGCGTCTGCACTGGAGGAAACGGGCACCTCTCCCCTCAGGCCGTTCGCAGTCACCTGGGTTGCCCTGAACACCCAGAGGAGAGTTTAGATCACGTGTGTCTTTGTGTTCCTGGGTTCTCTGGAGCCCTTCTGCGGCCACTCCGCGTGCCCAGGACCCTCCCCTGTCCTTGCTCAACTGCTGTCTCATGAACCCATGTTTCTGGCCGTGCGTCTGTCACCAGGTTCTCTCCCCCATGGAAGACATAGCTCTCTGTGGTCGGGCTGGAGGCCAGAGCGCAGCAGCCAGGGCAAGGCCGGGGTGCTGGAATTCTGGGGTCCCTCTGGCTTCTTGGCCTCCTCAGTGTTCCCCACTTCAGGCCGGAAGGAGCAGGTCAGGGCCCACCAGGAAGGGGAGGGCGGATGGCATGCCTGGGCCTGTGAGGCGTGGCATCCCTGACCTCGCCTGCCCAGGGAGGAGCACGCTGCTGCTCCTTTCCCACCAGGCCTGACTCCTGACGCCTGTCTCCTGGCTTTTAAGAGAGTAAGGTGGACCTGCACCGTGCAGCCTCCAGGGATCACTGGGTGAGCAAGGCGCCCAGGTCGCCCTCCCCTGCCTCCCTCACTCACCGGAAGCACCAGCGCTCATCAGGGCTCCCATCCGGCCTGCTGCCAACAGCCAGCTTCACCCCTGCCCGCTGCTTCTTCCTCCTGCACCACCAGTAGCCGTTTTCCATCTCCAGGACAGAGATGGCTTTCTGAGGACAAAGGACATGTCAGACAGTGGCCAGGAAGGCACTCCGCGGCACTTTGCCGTATGACCCGAAGTCTGCTAAGCGTGCGGGTTTGAATCCAGCTCCAATGTCTGGTTACCTGTGTGATGTCAGGCCCTCAAGCCCTCTGAATCTCAGTTTCCCCACCTGCAGATGGGCGGGTGTTGAGAAGTCAGCACAGAATGACTGCTCAACCGTGACTTGCCTTGTTACCGATTCCAGAATTCCGCACCAGCATTATATCTGCTCCACCCACACACATGCCTGCCCACCGGCACATGAGCGAATTAGGTGCGGCACACAACTTTGCCCAGCAGGGCACAGCTCAGAGAAGATGGGGGGCTTGCCCAAGGTCAACAGTGGATCGGTCAGATTCCAGCCTTCGGGACAAGGCTTTCTGAGCACCAGCTCACCACCCCCAGGCATCCAGTCAAGAAGTAGCTATTGCTCCCTCCATGGAAGGCAGATGTCACATCAGCCCCCAGCTACAGGGCCTTTGCCCCCCAATCCCAGGATGGCACATCCAGCCTGCCTCACCCACTAATGCAACCCCACTGACTGTTTGATGAACACAGGCTGGGAACTGCGTGAGGCCAAGGATTTGACCTTGTTCTCTGCTGTGTGTTCAGCACCAAAGAACTAAGCCTAGCTCCTCAGTAGATTCTCAAGAAAGACTTGAGGATGATAACGATTGACCCTCTCAGCACCTATTCTGTGCCGGGCACCGTCCCAAGGGCTTTAGATCTATGAGCCCATCCGATCCTCACGACAACCCTAGGAAGGAAGGAGTGGATCAGGGGGCCCAGCTCAGCCAGGTCCTGCATACTCCTCACCGGGCCCAGAACCTGGGGGAAAGGAGGGGAGCCCCCTGCCCCCGCGGCACCTGCAGCTTCCAGATGCTCCAGCTGTCGGTGGCCACACTGTTGACGGTCTCGCTCATGAGGGCGATGAGCATGTTCAGCAGCAGAATGTAGGTGAGCAGCACGTATGCCAGCAGCAGCAACAGCACCACGCCGCGGAAGCGCAGCTCGTCTTGGAAGGCCAGCTCCCCCATGCCGATGGTGAACTTGAAGAGCTCCAAGGAGGCGTCCAGGATGCCACCGTAGGGGGACGAGCTGCCCCCCTCATCCTCCTGTCCGACCCCGGGCTGTGCTGCCTCTGTGACATTGGGGCCTGGGGGGGCCCCCGAATCCCGGGCTTCCCGGCTCAGGCTCACCAGGGCTGCAGGAGGGAGAGAGGGGGATCCTCAGCCTGGGGAGACGAGGAGGCAGCCTCGGTGGCGTACAGAGTGGGCAAAGGAGAGGCAGGGGGTGGGGGAGGAGGGTCCTTACCCACAGCAAAGCCGAAAAGGAAGACTAAGTAGACCAGCAGGAAGCGGAGCAGATCCCGCAGGATGACCTAGAACACACACACCCAGGAGCCAGGGTGGGTGGCGGGGCCATCGGGCGTGACCCACGACCACTGCCTCCGCCCTGAGCATGGGTTCCCATGGACACACCACACACACACACACACACATGCATATGTGAGGCCCTGTGGAGCCACACTGAATAGACCGGTCTTTTAAAAAATCTATGTCAGATCCCATCACTTTCTTGCCTATGACTGTCCGGGGTGAAAACATGAAACACAGAATTATCACATGATCCAGAAATTCCACGTCTGGGCATATGCCCAAAAGAAAGCAGAGACCCAAACAGGTACGTGCATACCCCTGTTCATTGCAGTGTTACAATAACCAAAAGGTGGAAACAACCCCAGTGTCCACCGATGCATAAAGAGATAAACAAAAAAATGTGGTACGTACACACGGTGAAATAGCATTCCATCTTAAAAAGGAACGAGATTCTGATCCTCACTACAATACAGATGAACCAGGACACTGTGTTGAGTGAACCTAGCCAGTCATAAGAGGACACAAACCGTATGATCCCACTTCTGTGAGCTGCCTAGAGTAGTCTGATTTATAGGGACGGAAAGAAGATTATGGTGTTGGGGTGCCTGGGTGGCTCAGTCGGTTAAGCCTTCGACGTTAGCCACGTCATGATCCCAAGTCCGGCTCTGTGCTGACAGCTCGGAACCTGGAGCCTGCTTCAGATTCTGTCTCCCTCTCTCTCTGCCCCTCCCCTCCTCGTGCTCTGACTCTCTTTCTCTCTCTTTCTTTCAAAAAACGAATAATAAAAAAAAGAAAGTAGAATGGTGTTGCTAGGGGCTGGAGGAGGGGAATGGGGAGTTCATGTTGAATGGGGGGACAGAGTTTGAGTTGGGGAAGATGAAAAAGTTCTGTAGATGGATGGTACTTAACATTGTCCTTAAAGGTAGGCTAATACTTCGAAGGTACTTAATACCACTAAACTGTACACTTAAACATGATTAAGATCGGGGAGCTTGGGTGGCTCAGTCACTTAAGCATCTGACTCTTGGTTTTGGCTCCGGTCATGATCTTGCGGTTGGCGAGACCGAGCCCAGCGTCAGGCTCCATGCTGAGGGTGGGGCCTGCTTGAGATTCTCTCTCTCCCTCACCCTCTGCACCCCACCCTGCTTGCAGGCACACATGTGCACTCTCTCAAAAATAAAAATAAAAATTAATTATTAAGATGGTATATTTTGCCACAATTAAAATTTTTTTTCAGCCTCTGCGACTTCCAGACCCTTCCCCCTGGACAATGAAGCCCCAACTTCCTCCCCCGACTCCTTGCCCTGCCCCACGTGCTCCGAGCTCATTCTGGATCCTGGCCTTGGCCCCCAGTGCTCCCCCTCTGAGTCTGTGCTGGCTGAATCATATTCCTAGTCTCATCCATCACCTCTTCAGAGCATCCCATCTAAGGCACCCTTTGCCCCAGTCCTTCCCCGCCTGGCTCTGGCCTATGTATTTCCGCCCTAGCATTTAGCAGCCTGTAATGTTCTCGTTTGTTTCTCTAAGCGTTCCCAGCTCTCCTACCACAACGTCAGCTGCAGGCGAGCTGAGGGCGAACAAAGGAACATATTCCAACACTCAGACAGGACCTCAACTTTTGTCGAATAAATAAATGAGCGCAGACACGTCCAGATGCCCAGGTGTCCCAGGACACGGGCACACGGATGAGCTCCTGTGCACAGTCTCTGCTCCCTCGGTGTGCAAGGCTGCGCTAGCAAACACACACGTTCTTGTGTTTGCTCACACCCGCGCAGAGCGCAGCCCTCTGAGGGCCGGTGTGTGCACGCTCATGCTCAGGCTTACATTCAGCGAGTGTCTGGGTTTGGGATGCAAAGGCAGACGCGCTCGTGTTCTCCTCCACCGTCTGGAGGGGGGCGCCTGCCTGCTGAGGCCAAAAGAGTCCTCCTCTCACCTTCTGGATCATGACACTGTAGATGCCCGTGTGCTGCAAGCCACGCGTATAGTAAAGCAGGTTCAGCCAGCCCAGCACCAGCGAGGACACAAGCAGGGGCAGGTACCACTCGACGGCCAGGAAGCACAGCACCTGGGACAGCACCGTGAGCAGGGCCTGGATCAGGCTGGGTGGGAACAGAATTCGGGTCAGCTTGCAGGCCACCTGGGGAGCTCCCCGCCACTTGCCCCCCAACGCTGGCCGGCACTGACCACCCCTGCCTCTCCCACCATCTATCCGTCCCTCTGTCTGGGACTGGACCCAATCAGGGCAAGTTATTTAGACCGTATGGGCCTCAGGTGTCTCCCCTGTAAAATGGTGGAATAGTAATAGCGCCTGACTCACAGAGCGTCTGTGCAGATTCCGTGAGCCACCACATGTAAAGAGTTCGGGTTCCAGTGTTATGCAGTGAGCGCTCAGTGCACGTAACTGTCATGAACACAGGGAGCCCCAGCCTGGGCTTTGGTCTGGGCCCCTGGCGCTCCCTGGCTCCGGTCCTCACCCCTCCAGCCTGGCGCCGGCCGCCACACCAGCCCCCCCCCCAGGGGCTGACGCAGGGGAAGGGAGTGAGGCCCAACGTACAAAAGGATTTCGAAGTAACCATCCAGGAACGAGACCCAGATGAACACACGGCGTCTCCAGAAGTACCACAGCTGTGGGGGGGGGGGGTGGGGGAGGGGAGGGAGGAGAGGAAGGAGGGGAAATTTGGTGTCCAGGCCACAGGGCCGCAGCCCTGCCGGGCTCCCCACTGTGCTCCCTGCCTCCTGGCCTGGCTTTGGGGGGTCTGACCAGGACCCCCTCAGGGGCTCAAGCAGCATCTTGGCCTTTTGCGGGGTGGGGGGGGCTCATGGATCCTGCTGATAGCTGAGAAAGCTTTGAAGCCTGTTTACAAAAAGTGTAGCCACCCACAGACACCCGGACCATGCCAGGCGCCGCTGAGCTCCCTGGGCATCTGCAGGAGGCACTCCCTCCCTCCTCAGGGCCAGAGGAAGAGACGCTTCACCTCCCCTCACCCTGGCCTCACAGGGACCCCCCAGTACTCAGCCAACCTGGATCTGGTGCCGAGTCCGCCCACTCTGAGACAGGCTCGATGCCTGTGCTCTCCCAGGGAGGGATGGCCCAGCCCGGCTGAGGGGCCTGGGGGTGGGGGGCTTCCAGCTCCACTCCACAGGGCGAGGAATCATGGGAGTCATCTGCTGCCCCACGGGCGCCCCAGAAAGCACAGCGGGGAGGGACTGGCCCAGAACCCAAGGCCCTCAGCTGCCCCGAGGCTGGTAGGAGTGGGACTCGGTGTAGGATTCCTTCCCCGGAAATGAAGGGATTGCGGTTAACTCACTCTAATTCCTAGGGGAATTCTAGTTTGCTTTTGGGAGCCCCACGGGGGTCCTGGGGGTGTGGGGTGCGGAGGGGGGATGGGAGGAGGCCTCACCTGGCCCACGAGGAGGTAGACCCCCCCAAGCAGGATCAGAATGTGGCCCAGCAGCAGCATGGAGCCTCCCGCAGTCACTTTCAGGGGGTGGGAGGCCTGCTGAAGAGACACTCTGATAGGACCTCGGCCTGAGTCCCCTCCCAACAGGGAGACTTCTCGCTGAAGGCCCTTTCTGGGCGTGAGCTGTTAGAGAGGCCACGCAGACCAGCACAGGGAACATGGGCTTCCGGGCAGGCCCGCCCCCCACCCCCGCAAGGATTCTAGCCTGTGGAGAGGCACACTGTGTACTGGTTATGACGGTGGATTCAGATCCCATCTCCCCCCCCACTGACAGCCTGTGTGGCCCTGGATGAGTGACTTAACCTCTCTGTGCGTCCCACCCGTCAACTATAACCTGGGGATGCTGACAGTTCACCGTTCTCAGAGGGTTGTTCTAAGCGTTAAGTAAGTTAACGCACGTCACCCACTGGAAATACTTTCTCAGGTAGGGTGAGTGCCCAGCAAGGATTAGCGTGGTTTTCTCCGTGGTGCTGGCCTCGGTGCTCACCAGCTGCGTGAGAGCTCCGGTGCATGGTGTTATCAGGTGCAGATGGGGGCTGGCCCATCCCTGCCCTGTCTTCTTCCAACCTCCCCCAGGAAGCGCCCCCCCCCCCCCCGGCCACACCAGTACCTTCTCCAGGGCCGGCTGGTGGTAGGCGACAGTGGTGAAGAGGAACATGTACACCAAGTAACACAGGAAGTTGAAGAAGAATCTGGGGATCAGCAGATCCCATTTCGCCTGCAGCAGTTTGTTCAACGGCTCCAAAACCACCATTCGGTGTCGGTGCTGGGGTGGGAGTGTGAGAGCTGGCACATCAGGGGTCTGCGCGTGTCGGGCTCAACGTGGGGGGCTGAGGGAAATGGAGGGGAGCGGCAAGGGGGGGTGTCCGGGGGCAGAACCCCCAATGACCCCGCCCCACCGGCCTCCACCCCGCCCTCCTGGCTATGGACTGGCTCTGCCAGGCCCCCTACGCGCCCCCAACCCCGGGCCCCCGTGGGCTCACCGGGCTTCTGCAATGAAAGGCGATGATCTCCAGCACTGAGTTCTCCTCCCAGCTGTCCACAGAGGCCAGGTCATACAGCGACACCCGGACAGGCCCGTAGCACCACTCGGTAAACTTCCGGGAAAGCGGCTGGCAAGGCCCTGAGAACTCCCGCTGCAGGATGTGTCTGAAAATCTGCAGGGGAAGCCACGTGAGCTCGGCCTGCGTGGCCGCCTCCCAGCACTGCCCAGGCTCGGTACCCCCAGAGCTGCCCACCATCTGCAGAGCTACACGCAGACACAGGCAGGGGCGCCTGAGTAGCTCAGTCCCTTACGCTTCCGGGTCTTGGTTTCAGCTCAGGTCATGAGCTCACAGTTCGTGCGTTCGAGCCCCGCATCAGGCTCTGCACTGACAGTGTATAGCCTGCTTGGAATTCTCGCCCTTCCCCCTCTCTCTGTCCCTACTCTGCTTGTGTGTACTCTCTCTCAATAAATAAACTTAGGGGCGCCTGAGTGGCTCAGTCAGTTAAGGGGCCTGCTCTGGCTTAGGTCATTGTCTTGTGGTTTGTGGGTTCTAGCCCCACATCAGGCTCTGTGCTGACAGTTTGGAGCCTGGAGCCTGCTTCAGATTTTGTGTCTCCTCCTCTCTTTGCCCCTCTCCCAGTCACGTTCTGTCTGTCTCTCTCTCTCAAACATAAGTAAACATTAAGAAAAAATTTTTAGGGGCACTTGGGTCACTCATTTGGTTAAGCATCTGACTTTGGCTCTGGTCATGATCTCACAGTCTGTGGGTTCAAGCCTCACATCAGGCTCTGTGCTGACAGCTCAGAGCCTAGAGCCTAGAGCTTCGGATTCTGGGTCCCCCTCTCTCTCTGCCTCTGCCCCACTGCTTTCTTTTAAAGGAGACACATGCACACACCCGGTACACAAAGATCCTTGTGTGTATAAAGTCTCGCACACATCCCCACATGCCCGCTACAGTGTAAACATTCCCATCAGCTCACATGGTCCAGGCCTGCCAGTGAACCTGGCTCTTGCTTCCCCACTCCTGCCCCGAGGGCTCTTCCCTCGACTCTGACTCCTTACATGGCAGAGGGACCCCTCCCAGAGGTCCTCAAGACCCCTCGAGACCAGAGGCTCCCGGCACCCCAGGTGTGTACCCTTCTATGGTCAGAGCTCAGAGCTTCCAACAGACTAGAAAGCACCCCTAACTTGAAAAGGTTAAGAAGCAGTTTGGTTTTGGGGTGCCTGGCTGGTCTAGTCGGGCTCAATCATGTGGCTCTTGATTTTGGGGTTGTGAGTTCAAGCCCCACATTGGGTGTAGAGATTACTTTAAAAAAAAGTTGGGGGGCACTTAAGTGGCTCAGTTGGTGGAGTGTCTGACTCTTGATTTCAGCTCAGGTCATGATCCCAGGGTCATGGGATCAAGCCCCATGCTGGGCTCTATGCTGATTATGGAACCTGCTTAAGATTCTCTCTCTCTCCTCCTCTCTCTCTCTCTCTCCCTCTGCCCCCCTCCCCTGCTCGTGCTCTCTCTGTCTCTCAAACAAATAAAAATAAAAAGATTTAAAAATAAAATTAAATTAGGGAAATGTCTGGGTGGCTCAGTCGGTTGAGCGTCTGACTTTAGTTTGGGTCATAGCTCATATTTTGGGAGCTTGAGCCCCATATCGGGCTCTCTGTTGTCAGTACAGAGCTTGCTTCGGATCCTTTCACTCCTTCTCTCTCCGCCCCTCCCTCATACATCCCCTCTCTCTCAAAAATAAATACTTAAAAAATAAAATGAAACAAATAAAAATTTAACTAAAGAAGAAGCAATTTGGTTTCACAAATGAGGAATGGGGAAAGGAAGGGTACCCTGTCATACCTCTGGACAACAGAGGGAAGTTCCCACCCCCCAGGAACCTTGGAGACAGGAAGAAAATAGTACACACTGGGTTTCGTGCATCTATACAGCCTCACAGAGGGCAAAACCCTGAGCAATCGCAAAACCAAGGAACGCTAAAGGAAAAGATAATCACCGTTACGTATAGGAAAATGTAAAGATTCTGCATGGCAAAAAAGAAAAAAATCCCACAAGAAATGTTTCTACTATACAACAGGGAGAAAACTTTGCAGCTGTTTTAGTAAACAAAACACTAATGCATTCATTGTAAAGGACAGTAATTGATATTACCGATCAATACGAAGAAAACGTAATAGCAAAGCTCATTGCACAATAGGCAAAAAATATGGAAAGACTGCCTCCTAATCAAGGAACCCAAATGACTTAAAAATCTTTGTGTTTTATAATGCAACATGTGGGGCGCCTGGGTGGCTCAGTCAGTTAAGCGTCTGACTTCGGCTCAGGTCATGATCTCACGGTTCGTGGGTTCGAGCCCTGCATTGGGCTCTGTGCTGACAGCCGGCTCAGAGCCTGGAGGCTGTTTCAGATTCTATATCTCCCTCTCTCTCTGACCCTCCCCTGCTCGCGCTGTCTCTCTCTCTCTCTCTCTCTCAGAAATAAATAAAACATTAAAAAAAAAAGAAATTATAATGCAACATGTTAGTGGGTAGTTCATATCTAAGTTATCAGTGAACACACATATATTAGGGGTGCACGCTGAACATGTTCTTACGACCTGGAGAGTTCAACAAAAAAGTGGGGAGACTGGGTCGCCTGGGTGGTTCAGTCAATTGAGCAGCCAGCCGACTCTTGGTTTCGGCTCAGGTCATGATCTTGTGGTTTGTGAGTTCGAGTCCCCCATTGGGCTCTGCTCTCACCCTCTCTCTCTCCCAAAATAAATAAACTTAAAAGAAAAAGGTGGGGAGACCCATGATCTAGAACGCTGCTCCAGGATCTATCTGCAAAAAAATCAAAGGGGGTCCTGTTGCTTCCTGGAAAGGTGGGAGGGGGTGGGGCCAGGCGCTCACCTCCATTTTGCCCTCCTTGGCGGCCAGCTTGAGGGGCGTGAGGCCCTGCAGGTTGGGAATGTCTTCGAGCTGCACTGTGGGGCAGAGGCGGGCACCGGCTCGGAGAAGCCCATCGTACATGCGGATCACCAGGGCGCTGTTCTCGGCCGAGTCATCTGCGATCATCACCAGGGCGTGCAGGGCGGTGTTGCCCAGCGAGTCGACCGCCTGCAGGCTGGCGGGCTGATGCGGGTTCTCCAGGAGGTAGGTCACCACATCCCACTGCTTGGTGCACGCGGCCAGCGAGAGGGGCAGCTCGCCTGGGGGTCAAGGGGGGCAGCCTGAGCCTCAGGCCTCCCGGCTTCCACCTGACTACTCCCCACACTCCCAGGATGGAAAGCCAGGCCTCCTCCAAGACAGTCAGGCCCCCGCTGGAGAGGATGGAGCACTGCCTTGGGAGCCCAGGTCCACCCAGGCCTGTGCTCTGAGGGAAGACGGTCCCAGGCCCCACTTAGGGCAGCTCTGCCTTTTGCTATGAGCACTGGTGAAGGCAGTTCTGTCCAGCTCTTGACCCATGGGGCTGGTGACCAAAGACTTTGACCATCTGAAGGCTCAGAACAGAGGCAGGCCAACCAAGGTCCCCATCTCCCTGCCTCCTCCTCTTTTCTTCGCCAGAGCCCAGCCCCACTGCCAGCTGGCATCGACGCCCCTTTATCCAGGCCCTATCTGGTCGACCTCCCCCCACCCCCCACCGGTTCTGCCAGCCATTCCCCTGCCCTGGGCCGGGCGTGGATGTGTGGCGAGCTTTCTTGGCCCGATGAGGCTGAAACATCTCCTAAGACAAACTCCTTTTGCAGGCAGCCCAGTGATTAGAAGCATGAGCCCTTGGGGGTCAGACAGATCTGAGTTGGAGGGCCAGCTCTGCCACACGTTTACCATGTGACGTTGGGCAAGGCCTTATCGCCTCTGTACCTCAGTTTACCCGAGAAAGTCTCCTCACCAAAGTAGAAGCAAGTCCCTTGGCTCTTCTTCTGGAAGAAGTGGCCGCAGGCCCGGGCATGCACATTGGCCCCATTCTCCACCAAGAGCTTCACACACTGCAGGCTCCTCTTCTCGATGGCGATGTGCAGGGCACTGTGGCCTCGGTAGTACTCATCCGTGCACTGGGCGTTGACCAGGGGCTGGGGATTGCCAGAGTCCCGGTCGATCTGCAGCAACGGCAGGATGCAGGCGTTGGCCCCTTCCCGAAGGTTCAACACGGCCTTCATCAGGCACGTCTTACCCGTGGAGCCCTCTGTGGGAGAAGGGGGGGGGAGGGGCACCAGGGTGCTCAGGCCTGGAGTGGCTGGGCGGCCCACCAGCTCCAAAGTACCCCTTGGGGAGATAAAAAAAAGATTGTCACACACGACTGGTGGAAACACAGCCGTGCTATAGGATATTAAGGCTCCGACCAACAGGTATTAAAATACCAACAGGTGTGACTACAATCTCTGCCCTAGAAAATAAGTTTCTAAGACATAATTTGTCGTATGTGCAATGCTGTGTATGTGAGAACACCCGGAGGAAAATTCATTAAGTGGCTCCACCAGTGGCTCCCCTGGCCTCTCTCGACCTCAGTTTTCCTGACTGTAAAATGGGAATATTTCAGGGCTATTATAAGGGTCAAAGGGACCACATACAAAATTCTTGGCACGCAGATGGCCTGGCACAAAGTACGTCGAGGCCAAAAACTACAAACGACATAAACAGCCATCACTGAGGAATTGGTTAAGTAAATCCTGGTAAGTGGGCATGACAGAAAAACTCTGCAGTTGTTAAAGTGACTGAGTTAGAGGTCTATGTACTCAAGTGTAAGTGGTTACGTATTGGTATATATAGCACAACCCATTATGTAAATATATATCTCATATATATTTAAATGGCTTGAAAAGATATATCCCAAATCATTAACAGGGATCCAGGAGGTCCTAACGTGTTAAACATCAGCTTTATACATTTCATTATGATTGGAATCTTCTGGAATGCACGAAATGTTACTTTTCTACCATTTGGGCTGATTTTCTTTTTTTTTTTTTTTAAATTTTTTTTTTTAAGGTTTTTATTTATTTCTAGGAGAGAGGGAGAGAGAGACAGCGTGAGCAGGGGAGGGTCAGAGAGAGAAGGAGTCACAGACTGAAACAGGCTCCAGGCTCTGAGCTGGCAGTCAGCACAGAGCCTGACGCGGGGCTCGAACCCACGAACCGCGAGATCATGACCTAAGCGAAAGTCAGACGCTTAACCGACTAAGCCACCCAGGCGCCCCGTTTGGGCTGATTTTCTAATCAGACCAAACCATGAAGATGTTTAGATTTGGGGCAAAAATAACGACAATGTTATTTTAAGATGGAAAGGGAAGGGAAGGGAAGGGAAGGAAAAAGGAAAGAAAAGGAATGAAACAGAAACAGAAGAAAAGAGAAAAGATGCACTGTGAAGCCCCTGAGTACCCATTTGGCCACTGAAATGGGCTAAGGGTGCTCGAGGTTGGCCAGGAGCCAGGGAGGTGGTGGGAGGGGGACACAGCCATGACCTCAATGAGCGGCCGTCGGCTCTGTCGGCGGGGCCTCCCTACAGCCATTTAGGCAGGAGAGCTGCAAAGACCAGTCACCCCTTGGCTCCTGACCACAGTCAAGGCCACCCAGTGAGCCAAGTCTCAGCACTTGGCCTACCTGTGTACTCTGAGTCGGTGAGGTACTTGCTGGTCCGGGACAGGTACTCTGCTAACCCAGCCAGATCCTCAGGGACACCCCGGGCCACCACGCTGAAGAGCCGGTCACGGTCAAAGCGGTTTGGGTCCGGCTGGCTGTGGGGAAGTGACTTGTGTCTGACACTGTGGAAGAACCATGCCCCGCGCCCCCCGCTAAAGTCCCCCCTTCCCAGGGGTCCTTTCAGGGCTTCCTGTGAGCTCTGGGTACCTGCAGGCCCAAGAACCCCCCGAGAGCCTTTCTGGGGGCCGCTGCCCTCTCAGGGCAGACCAAGGAGACCCCAAGTGCTGAGAGCCCCAGGAGGAGGCGGGGGAGGAGGGGGAAGGAGGAAGGCCTGTCCAGAGCACTAGTCCCGAGCATCCCCATGACTCCAGGGGGGAAAAAAAAGTTAAATAAATAAATAGATAAGAAAACCCCTCATCCTTCCTCTCAGAACCCGTGTCTAGACTAATAATGGAGTGGCTGCACCTTTAACCCTCACTTCAGCCCTTGGGATCAGCAATTGCTATTTTTTATCCATTAGACCAACAAAGAGATCAAGTAACTTGCCCAAAGTCACATGCGCAGGACTGGGCTCACCTAACTCCAGACCCTGACTCCTAACCCCAGAGAAATTCTAGGCTGGGCGGAGAGAAGTTTCTCAGAGACACGGGAGTTTAGCGCTGAAACCTGTCAGATGCTCACCAGAGTTTTACTGAGAAGCCGCACTTCCGGGGAAGGCCCCAGAAGAGGTCCGGTAGGCCCTCAGCATCTAGCAGTTTCTGGTGACAGGGGAGGAAGGGGAAGGCGTGTGGGGTTCCCCTCCTGGGCATATGCCACTATTTACAGAGCCCAGCCTGCCCCTGGGGCTCCTGGAACTGTGACGGGCGGATATGAAGGGTTAAACAGAGGTGGGGGAGGGGACATTTGAAGCTCTGGGGACCCTCAGGTCCTAGCTTTGCCAAGTATGGGTTAGTGACTCTCTGATGAGCCGGGGATTGTTGGGATCAGTCACATGTTAAGCTGTAGCCGTGTGACTGAGAGAGATAGGCCCTGCCTCCCCCACACCAGGAAGTCACGTGTCTGCCCCACCCGGCCAGACACACCGTCATTTGCCTAGCAGACCACGTGGCCACAACATGACCCAGCAGACCCTGTGGCTGACCTGGGAGCCTGATGGGCAGTCCGGCCAGGGAAAGGGGCCGTTTGGGCAAAATGGTTCCCGCCACAGGGTGACATCACCGTCTTGGGGTAGGGAAACCCAGAGAGAACACAGATGGAGTCACCGAAGGGCATCGAGGGACCTATTCTGCTGTCAGGGGGCGACTCGGCTCCCAGAAACCTCACACGCATCCTCCCCTGCCCTGGTCTGAACCTGACCGTGGTCTTCCAACACAGACCATACAGGGGCTCTGGGCTGGGAAACCAAGGCAGGTGCCACGCCTCAGGCAGGGAGACAGATGAAGGGGCTTCCCTGGCAGAGTCCTGCCTTGCCCATGAGGATTCTCCAGCCTCGGACATCAGACCTCACACTGAGGGGGGAGGGGTGCCAGGTGAGCACCCCCCCCCCCCCGGCGAAGGCTTGGAACTCATACTCCCGGCAAAAGTGGGCCCACACCGTCTGAACCTGTCCTGATCACAGGAGGCTCAAGGCGAAGAGGACTCACAGCAGAAGTCCCCCCTCCCCCCCCGAGTCTACATCCCTGGGCAACAAGCCCAGGAGCACCCAGGATACTACAGAATGTCCCTGACTCTCAACTTGGACTTGGACTTGGATCATGCTAGCATCCCCACGGGGACTGTGACGCACAAGGGCCAGGGCACACACAAGGGGACGTGAGGGTCTGCTGAGTGCTTCGGGATGGAAGAGCATGTCCCTATGAAGAAGAACACGACCTGAGAAGGCAGAAGGCCAGGAATTCGGAAGGTTCCAGAGGGAAGAACTCCAGAGAGCAGAGCAGGGTTATGCCCATCAGCACCAGGAGCCATCACAGCCAGACTGAGGACCTCCCTCTACCCCTCACCCCTGCCCTGGGCCGTGGGAACGGGGCTCTGGGGCTGGGTCAGGCCCCGAGTCTGACTCAGGGCCCTCCACTGGAGGTGAGGGGCCCCTGGGCCCCGCCCCCATTTGCTGCCTCACCTGACACCTGCTCCTTTGCGGTAGTTGAGGTTCACTTTGATCTGCGGGGGGCAGTTCCGGTCCTCCCTCTGGAATGGTGACTCCATGGGGGGTGGCCCATCCCCGAGGCCCAGCTTTTCTTTGTCCGCCTCAGCACCATCTTCTAGGCCTCCATCAGATGTCTGGAGCCTGAAAGTTGGGGAGCTGGAAGGCGAGGCCATCCTAAAGGGAGGAGGCTGAGGTCTGGCCGGGGCCTGCAAAAAGAGAAGTTTAGGGGGCGCCTGGGTTAAGTATCCGACTCTTGATTTCGGCTCAGGTCATGATCTCACAGTTCGTGAGCTGGAGCCCCACGTTAGGCTCTGCGCTGACGGTGTGAAACTTGCTTGAGATTCTCTGGCTCCCTCTCTCTCTGCCCCTCCTTGACTTGTGCTCTCTCTCTCTCAAAAAATAAATAAACATTACAAAGAGAAAGCGAGAGAAGTTTAGATAGAAGCTGAGTACAAGTAGACCCACCCACCGCTCAGCCCAACGGGAGGGGAGTAAGCCACGAGGGAGGAAGGCCAGGATGAGGAGAGGGAGGGAGGTTTCCGGTGTGGGGATGGAATGGAGAAGAACATTCCATCTTCTGACTAGTCCCTGACTACTGACTAGTCCCACGGAAAGGGTTGAGATTGTCCCTGACTTTCCCTCCGAGACTTCCTGGTATCTGAGAGGCCCACAGCCCCCCGTCCGGGGTAACAAACATTTGAGGTCACAGCACAAACGTAGCATTTCTCTACATAACATCTTGTCCAGCGGCCAACCTTCACAACAGATGAGTGCAGTCACAGGCACCAGAGGCGGGTCACAGAACCTCGTGTCCCAGGACGGGACGTGCTGGGGGAGACGGCTGGAAAACGGCTGGTCTCTCAAACCTCTCGTTTTGCTACCAGGGCAACTCAGGCTCAGAAAGGGGAAGTGACTTCCCCAGGGTGGCCAGCTGTTGGCAGAGCCTGGTCTCAAACCACAGCACGCCACCGTGATGGTGCTGTTGTTCTTCAATTCTCCAGACCTTTCAGGGCCCATGTAAGTTTTCAGTCTGACTCCTCTGACGGCATCGAACGCCACCTCTCTGTGCTTTAGGGTCTCTGGGGGCTACAGAGCAGGGAGGGAGCCCCCTCGGTGGCGGCCCAAGTGCCCCCTGACGGAGAGCCCTACCTCTCAGGCCCTAGGTGGGGGTCTGGGCCCTGGCACCTCTTCACAGGGGAATGGAAACCACAGCTTCCATCACATGGCGGGGTGGGGCCCCGGTTGGGGGAAGGGGGTAGGCCCTGTGCCCTCTCCCCCAGTGGGTAGAAGCAGAAAGAAGGAAAAAGAGTCAGCAACGGGTGGGGAGAAAGCAGGGTGGGAGAAGGGGGCAGGGCAGCGAGCAGAGAAGAGCGTGGGAATGGCAAAGAAGGGGGAGAAGGGAGGGTGGATGGTGACAGGGCTTGGGCTGGGACCCACCAGCCCTTGGGGACCTGGGGTTGGGGGGCATTTTCCCACAGAAGCAGGGGAGGCCGGGACCAGCTAGCTGACTCAACATGCAGGCTTTTTGTTTGTTTTTGGCCATCCATCTAGAAAGATGGACACCCAATTCTGGGGCGTCCTTCCCAAGCCACACACCATTTAGCCTGGCTTCTGTCCCTAACCATCCCTCCCCTGCACCCCCAATCTGCCTCCCCGGCTGCCCCCCAGCCCATGTTCCCAAGCCTCAGCAGCAACAGCTACCTGTCCGGCCGTTGCTTGTTCCGGGGCCCTTCCCGCCCGGCAGGGAGGAAGGGGTCTGTCTGGCAGTCCCGGTAGCGGGGGCGGGAGCCCCTTGAAGACCCTAACTCGGGGCTGGAGAAGCAGGGAGCTCCCCCACTCCGGCTTCCCCGCCCCGATCAGGCACTGTCAGGCTCCGGGCCGCCCCCTCCCCAGATGTGCCCGGGGGCCCACCGACTCACCCGGCTGGGCCGAGGCTGGGGCGCGGCGGCCGGGGCTGCGGACCCTGGGCTGGGCTCCCCGGGCGTCCGGGGCGGCGGGCGCTGCAGGAGGAAGTGAAGCCGGGAGGGCGGCGGGCGCTGACAGCCGGGAGCCGCAGAACCTCCCCAAGCCTGCTCGGAGCTCCGCGGGCGGGCTGCGGTCTCGGGGTGTTCCGCACCCTCAGCCCGCCCGGTCCGCGGGCATGGTGGGGAGTGGGCTTAAGTCTCCCGGCTCAGGACGCGCTGGCCATCACTGAGTGACCGTCTGGACCACTGGCCACACCCTGCACTCCGAGAGACACGCCCCGCCTCCCCACCCCCACTGTGTCTAGCCAGGGATGGCCCAGGTGGGGGTGGGGGCAATGAGAGTGTTAGACCACCTTTTCCGAAGGAGAATCACCGAGGACAAAGCCTACAAACACAAAAGGAGTTGGTTACTCAGGTTTATTTTAAAATTTTTTTAATGTTTTATTTATTTCTAGGAGAGAGAGAGAGACAGCGTGAGCAGGGGAGGGGCAGAGAGAGAGGGAGTCACAGACTCTGAAACAGGCTCCAGGCTCTGAGCTGGCAGTCAGCACAGAGCCCGACGCGGGGATCGAACCCACGAACCGCGAGATCATGACCTAAGCGAAAGTCGGACGCTTAACCGGCTAAGCCACCCAGGCGCCCCTATTCAGGTTTATTTTAGACCGGCCGGATGGCCCCTCCCGAGCACCCAAAGAGTCCTCGGAAGAGCGCGCCATCAAGCCATAGCTCAGGGTTTATACAGGGAGAAGGGCGAAGCCGGTGTACAGAAGCAAGAATTTTGCGGTTAGAGGTGGGGGGTGGCTTAACAGTCGCTTGAAGAACATGTTTGACCGTTCTAATCACAATGTTAATTAAAGATTTAAGTCTCAGGGGCCTGCTGCAGCCAGGAGGAGCTGGGTTGCTCAACCCCTGACCTTTTACCCAAATAGAGTTGGAGATCAAACAATGGTTGGTATTTCCTGATTTGCAAACCCCTCACCTTTTGGCTCAAGGGAGTTTTTACTTGAGGCAACCCTTGGGTGCTGGGCCTTTGCCGCACGTGAGAGCCGTCACGGAGTGGGGACTTCTTGCTCTGCTGTGCCGACCTCTGCCTCCTCCCCTTCCCGACCACATGCCTTCCAAGGGCTCAGGTTGGGAACTGGTTGACCGGGCACAGGACAGACAGAGCGAATGTGGACGGACCCCAGGGAGAGGACAGACTCAGACCAGCACATGACCCTGGGAATGCACGCCACCCAACTCACTAGGAATTTGAGGGGATTTCCCCATCTCCAGCCCCCCCAGCCCCCTAGTAGGGGGCCCTGTCCGCTCCATTAGCGAACGGCGCTTCCAGCACCAACCAGCAGGGGGGGACAGGGAGGCCTCTGGGTACTGATGAAATGAGAACTCCCTGCCCCAGCTTGGTACCCATTAAACAACTGGGGCCTGAGGACACGGTCACCAACCAAGTAGCTCTAGGACACCTTCCTCTCCCGAGCTCCCGACCACCCAATCCCTGCCCTGAACCTACCAGATTGTCTCTGTCTCTGTCTGGTGGACATCATCTCTCCCCTGAGAGATTGGAGGCACCTCCAAACTGGTCTCCCTGCTTCATTCCAACTCCACCCTCACCCTCATAATCCATTCTCCGTGCAGCAACTGGAAGGATCTTTTGAAAATGAAACCCAGATCACCCCCACTCCCCACTTAACCCCGTCTGCCACCCCAAACAATGGCTTCCTTTGGGACTTAGAGTAAAATGCGAACTCCATACCATAACCCTGTGCAGCCTAAATGCTCTTTACCTTTGCTCCACCTTCATCTGTCATTGGAACCCTGTCTTGCAGGTGACACTCAAGGCTTGTGCTGTCCCATATGGTAGTCACTAACCACAGGGGCATTCTGAATTTAAATCAATTATAATAAAATCAAACTAAACATTCAGTTCTACGGTCACAGTAGCCAGGTTTCAAACGCTCAATAGCCACATGTGGTTGGTTAGTGGCTACCATATTGGACCGCACAAATGTAGACCTTCTCCATCATTGCGGAGAATTCTGTTGGACAGCCCCTCTCTGGACACTGGAACAGTTCAGTCTCTCCAGTATGCCATGAACTTTTATGTTGCCTCCAAGCCTTGTATAAGCTGGTCCATCTGCCAGCAACAACCCCCCACCCCAACACACACACACACACACACACACACACACACACTCTGCCCTTGTTCTAGCCAACTCGCACTCATCTGTTGTCCCTCCATTGAAACATCAATTCCTAGCCTTTCCTAGACCCTGGACTGGGTTGGAGGCCCCCACTATGTGCTCCAATGACACTATGTATTTCTCTCATCATAACTCACTATCCATTATTGTTAACGTTTATTTATCTGGCTTCACCTTTGACAATAACAAGTGGCTGCCTTGCTGTAGGCCAGACATTGTGCCTCGTGCTTTCCACGCAACTCTCAGAGCAACCTTATCTCACAGACCGGGAAATGGAGGCTGGGCAAGATTAGGCACCTGTCCAACGCCACATAGCTGGGAGGAGACAAAGAAGGGGTTTGAATCCAGGGCCACACCCTTATGCACCAAGCTCAACAAGAGGCAAGGTTTTGTCCTTACTTTTTACTGTATCTTCAGGACCTAGAAGCCAGCTTGTGCTCAAGGCTTTTTTTGCTTTTTTTTTTTTTTCCAAGAAGGCTTTGTATGACTGGGTGGTTAATCATAATCATAATGCAGAAGGCATTACTTTGCTGTTGGGGAAAAACTGAAAAGTAAGCAGACACCCTCAAGTCCTTCAGAGGCACTTCAGGTGACAATGACAATTGGGCAGAAAACCCTAACTCCAAACTCAGTGTAGAAAAAGTTCTCAGATATCAGCCATCAGGGAAATGCAAATAAAACTGCAATGTGATACCATTTCACACCGCTGGGATGGGTATAATTAAAAAGACAGATAATGACAAGTGTTGGTGAGTATATGGAGAACTTGGAATGCTCATACGTTGCTGATGGATCATAAAATCGTGCAGCCACCTTGGAAACCAGTCTAGCTGTTCTTCAAAAAATTAAACATGGAGAGCACCTGGCTGGCTCAGTTGGAAGAGCATGCAACCCCTCATGTTGGGGTCGCGTTTGTACCCCATGTTGGGTGTAGAGATTATGAAAAAAAAATGAAACAGGTAGTTATCATATGACCTAACTATTCCACTCATTTCAAAAGAAATGTAAAGGTATGTCCACACAAACACTTGTACACAACTATTTATGGCAGTGTTATTCATCATGGCCAAGTGGAAACAACCCGCCACATCCATCGACTAATAGATGGATAAATGAAATATGGTCTCTCCATACACTGGAATGTTACTCAGGCGTAAAAAGGCATGAAGTAGTTTTACATGCTACAATATGGATACACCTTGAAAAAATTAGGCTAAGTGAAAGATGCCAGTCACAAAAGATCTCCTATTGCATGATTCCATTTATGTGACACATCTAGAATAGGGAAATCTTTAGAGACAGCAGAGAGATTAGTGGTTGCCAAGGGCAATAGGGTGTGGAGGGATATGGGGAGCTAAAATGTACAGGGCTTCTCTTGGAGAAAATGAAAATGTCCTAAATTAAACCGTGATAACAGTTGCACAACTCTGTAAATATACTAAAGACCATTGAATTGTACACTTCAAAAAGATTAACTGCATGTGATTTCTGTCTTTTAAAAAAAAGTCCTCTGAGCAAATAAGGATGCCTGTGTTTTTAGCAGAAAATGAATCAAGCAGAGAAGCAACTCTTTCTCAGTTCCAAGGTCATTGGACTTCTATTTCAAGAAGCTTCACTCAGTCCAGTATCCATGTAAGGAAAATCTTCTCCAAGCAGCCTTCTCACTTACGTGTTTCGTTTCACACTCAGTAACTTTTTATAAAGGCATGTTTCTTTTATTGGAATTTATTTGCATAATCGATTTTAAGAAAAGGAAGAGAAAGGCCACAAAAATGTGTAATAGATGTATCCTTTGGAGGAGGGAATTAAAGGATCAACGATAGAGGGCATCTGGCTTGCTCAGTCAGTAGAGCATGTGACTCTTGATCTCAGGGTCCTGAGTTCCAGCCGAGGTTAGATGTAAAGCTTACTTT